CTCATCTATCCTGCTTCCTCCTTTTTTTGATTTGTTTTTGTTTATAGTTCTAACCATTGAAATTGAGGGCCTGTGCACACTAAGCAAATACCACTGACCTCAGCCACAGGAAATTCTTTCTTTTTTTTGAGCCACTATCTCGATTTGTAGTTTAGGCTGGCCTTGAACTCAACTGTGTAGCCCAGGTTGGCCTGGAACTCACCAGGGATCCTCTTTCCTCAGCCTCCCAAGTGTTGGGATTACGGGATTGCACCACCACACCTGGTGGGAAATTTCTAAATTAAGAAAGTAAGTTATTTCCAAAATAAGTTGATTATTTTCTTGAAAATGTTCCTGGTTATTGCTTTAATTTTGTGTATTTTGTATGTATCTTATGGCAGAACAAAGAGTAGTCATTTGTGTATTTTTCATAGTTGACTATATAAAAATTACTCATCAGGCCTGGATATTTAGCTCAGTGGTTCTGCCACCTGCCTCGAAAACCCAAGGTCCTGAGTTCCATCCCTGGTACCAAAAACAAAAACAAACAAAAACACTTCTCCTTGGTGGAAGTAAAATTATTCATCAGAGGACAGCCATCTCCCAGATTATGTTCTTTTTCACATTTGCAGATGGTTAAGAGACTATTCAACATTTTATCCTTAACGTTTTAATGAAGTGGGAGAAGCTGATGGATTTACACATTGATGGAAATGTGGGGATGGAAGGAAAGGTAGTATAGAAATAGAGGCTTCACATCTGGGGAAACTGAGGTCAAGAGAGAGAAGCCTTTTGTCAAGTCACTTGCTTTTTTAGTGTTCTGGCCAGGACTGGACTCAAATCCATAGCTTTCCTAGTTTAGTGCTACTTTTAGAATACCATAGTGCCTCTATAGTACTTCCATAGTAGATCCATTCTCTCATGGAATCTTTTTTGTAAAATATTTTCTTTTTAATGAAACCTTAATTTCAGTTATGTTATATTGATAAGAATACTGACTAAAAATTACTACCCAATATTAACCATAATTATTTAAAAAATTTTATTAATGGCCCGGGGATTTAGCGCAGTGGTTCCGGCGCCTGCCTTGCAAGTGCAAGGTCCCGAGTTCGATCCCCGCACCAAAAAAAAAAAAAATTTCTTAATATATGTTTGCAGTATATGTTTATACATCATGCGAAGTTGGTACATGTACATAACACATCTTAATTCTTTTCATGTTCCCTTCTCTCCCTCCATCTAACCTTGTTCTTAGACAACAACTGTTCATTTTTACATTTAACTGTGGAAACTTTTACATTTAGAACTTTTTGGTTCTTAAAAAAATTCTGCTTAGGCTGGGGATTTAGCTGAGTGGTTTCACCGCTTGCTATGCAAGCACAAGGACCCAGGTTCGAGCCCCAGCACCAAAAAAAAAAAAAAAAAAGATTCTGCTTAGACTTTCGAGTTTCTGTTCTAATAGTCAAGTCATTGTTATTTCTTGGCACATACTAAGCATTTTTGTTAATATCTTGTGTTCAGTAGTTTAATATTTTATATCTTTATGATTCTGATTCTGCTGCCTGTATTTCTGTTAGCTCTTATTTATGGTACTTTGTTTCCCTGTGTATTTTTGTGATTATTTTTAACCTTGAGATAAAATCTCTTGAAACTTTAGGAATTATTTGTAGATAGATTAAATTTATCTTCTTCCAGAGTGAATTTGTAATTCTGCCTTTTATGGGGTGGAAGGCAGCACCGTTCATTTGGCATCTCTTTGGACTAAATTCCTTGTTTGGGATTTTTTTTTTAGTCACAGTTTGTACTAATTTGGGTCGCAAAGAGATTTGTTTTTTCTTTCTCTCCCCCTCCCAGCACTGAGGATAAGTCAGGCAAGTTTCCTTGTGGTACAGTATTATTTCTCATTCCCTCAGACATGAGAACTCTGGGACTTCCTCTTTTGCCTGGGGGTCTTGGGTGGGATCCAGCGTACCTGTTTCCTGATTGCTTTTCATTCTGTTTATCTGTTACACACTAAAAGTCACTGGGGTTAGAAAATACTTTCAGTGTGAAATCTGGTTTTTGCCAATTGCTTATATCTGTGGTTCCTTATACTATGGTTTTTGGGCTTTCTATGAATTTCTTCTTCCTTTACTGGTTCAGTCAATTTTTTTTTTTTTCTTTTTTTGTACTAGGGATTGAACGCAGGACCTTGTGCTTACGAGGCAGGCGAGGTGCCACTGAGCTATGTCCCTGGCCTGGTCCAGTTAATTAAAAAAAAAATTTCATTCACTTATTTTTTTTTTTTCCATCCAGGGGATCCTGAGTATCTAATTGCTTCTTCACAGTAAATTCTGTAGTACTAGGTGTTAAGCCTAAAGTGATCTTTTGCCGAAGTTACAAAATGGGAACAGGTCAGGAAAAAAATGACTTCTTCCATCTGTGTGTATCATGTACTCAGACAAAACAAAGCAATCCTGATCCCTATAAAAGCTCCAGAGCAGAGGATTTTAAACTCTGTATACCACATTCTTTATCTCAGTTAAGACTGGCAGATTTCATAGACTGTTCACTTTTGTAGGGTCATTTTTTTTTTTTCTTTTTGGTACTGGGGTTTGAACTCGGGTCCTTGCGCTTGTATAGCAGGCGGCGAAACCACTGAGCTAAATGCCCGGCCCCGTAGGGTCATAGTTTTTAAAGTGTGGGGATAGAAAATTGTTCTCAGCCATTGCTCTTGAATACTTATTTAGGCTCAATTCAAATTGTAGGATGCTTGATTGCCATTATTTGACATAAAATTTGTCAGCCTTTAGCAGAATCCTTGAAGAATACCTGGTTTGAGAACTTTCAAAATGCTAAAAGGTTGTATAGCAAAGTTTTAGCTTGGCAGTTGGTTTCCACCAGTTATCTCCTTTTAAAACCACTTAGTTGTAAGATTGCTTTGTATATATAATCTATTACTTTTTTAGTTAGCATTAGGCTAGAGCAGTGATGGCAAACCTTTTAGAGGTGAGTGCTTAAACTGCAACCCCAAACCCACTTATTTATCACAAAGTGCCAACCCTGCAATTAAAACTGAATACTGAGGTTTTAGCTTAGAAAAAGCAACTCATACATTAACATCTTTTGTCTTAAAAACACAATAATGCGCGTGCCATAGGTTCACCACCACTGGGCCAGAGATAGGAATGTGCTTTCACCATTTCTGCAGAGAAAATCTTGAATCAGTACTGTTGGAACGGTCCTTCTGCTTTGGCACAATCTGCTGCATAGCCTCATTACCATGTAAGATAGTATTTACTATATTATGCCTTAGTTTACAGCTATAATAAAGTCAATTCTATTCTTGTTTTGTACTTTCCATATTGATCTGCTACAATGACTCCTTCCATAACTGCAATTCCTCAAGCTGTTGATTTGTTTTACTTCACATGTATTAGTTGGCTAGGACTTCCTGGAGTTTTCTGTTAATTATAGTTGTGTCGTCAGAGGCATTAATAAAAATGATTTGAAATAATAGATTGAGTTAGAAAGGACTTTAGAAATTACCTAATCTTTTAATTTCATGAATAGTTTTAACTGAACTAAGTCTAAATTCATATACAAGCTTATATTGAAAACCCAACAGATAAACTTGGATCTAGGAGTTATGAAAATCATTGTGGATTCTGACTCTTTTATTTTGCAAATGAAGTTTCTTAAATCCACAAGAGTTAAATGTGTTCTGCAGTTATTTCCACTTGGCTTCCTCTTCCCAGACCTCTGAATTAGGTTACCATTCTACTTTGCTGTTAGACTTTTAAAGAGTATAGTGATGATACCTCTGGGCACTCTTTGTTAGCTCTTGCCTGCCAAGCCCAGGAGAGGGTCTGGTTTTTTTTTTGTTGTTTTTTTTTAATTTTAAGAGTTGTTTATTGTTTTCTTCTGATTTTTGTTTCTTTCTTAGAAGCTTTTGCGCAGAGCAGATCTGATTTATTACCATGACTTACTAATGAATTTAGTTTCTTTGTGATTGAAAGGGAGGGTGAGAAGAGAACCAGCATTTATGGGACACCCATCTATGTGTTGGCCATTGCCAGCTTACAAAAGATGAAACTCAGTTTATGTGTACTTACCTTATAAAGTCGTTGCTAACATTTTTCCTTTTACAGCTGGGAAACAGGCAGAGTAGCTAGCTAATTCTTGTCAAAACTGTGAGGTGAGGAGGATGAGGGAAGAGCTAAGCATGCGTGAAAGTGTATGGTGTACATGGAGACAAATGGGACATGTGGAATGGTTAGAATACGGAGTGTGTAGCATGGGATTGGTAGCTGGAGAAATGTCCATATGTCATTCTGTTCTTCATTTTAAGGGTCAGAAATGCTTCTTAATGTGTGTGCTGATCTTTTATTGTAAATAGATAGGTAACATGAGAGTGTTTTTTCGATGGTAGTGCCTTTTGTATTTTTGGGGGGAAGTGGTTATATGCATTTGAATAGAACAGTATTAGTTTGAATTTTTACAACAGATGGTAAAAATTTGAGTATATTGATTATTTTCAACATATGTGAGAAAGTTTTGTGACAGGGCACTTGAGCTGGTGGGTGGGACTGGTGTACATTCTAACAGTTTTGTTCAGTGCATTTTGAAGTTGCACGTGGTAGTTGAATTTGGAGTGATGGTAAAATTTAGAAGTTACAGTATATCTGTTAGCTAATGATTGTATCAAGATTTTGTATAAAGCCTAAAAGTAATTCCTAAATTAAAAAAATAAAGACAATATCCTGTATATATAAGTGCTGGTTACCTGAAGGAGATTATGGGAAATGTCTTGTTAGGTGGAAACTATCCAGTGACTCTTGGGGTACCTATACTCATTTGCAGTCTTGACTGAGCAGGAAGCTTAAGGTTGAGAGTCTAACAAGGGTTCTGAGTTTCCCAAGGAAACAGGTGTGGTGTATGGATGTTTTTAAAAGGATATCTCTGTAATTCCTATGTAATTGTGACCACATTTTGAAGATATTATAAATATTAAGATTTTTTTTTAAATTTTCATTTTACAGGGCGCCAATGCCTCGGCATTAGAGAAAGAGATTGGTCCAGAACAGTTTCCAGTCAACGAGCACTATTTTGGATTAGTCAATGTGAGTATCCACTGATACTTAGCTTTCAGAACTTGTTTGGAAGCCATTTGAGAAATGATGAATGCATTTCATAATTTATTTAAGGAGAATAGTTCATTTATATTATTAGAATTCAGTGCAAGAAACAGATTTTGGAATTTGAAAATGATTGTTAATGAAAAGAAAGTTGGCCTGAAATGAGTCCTAGAATAGTTTCAAATTTTGTTGGCCTAATTTTTACTTGTGTCACATATTTCTCATAACCAAAATTCCATGTGTGTAGACAAGTGAGGTCTTGATTCTTTGAGAATTAAGTAGAAAATATATGAGTATAAATAGACTTTTGTAAATGCTTCCATGTGTCTATAGGGTATTTGTCAATGTACTTCAGGTATTGTACCACTACTATTGCTATAAAAGTGCTAAATACAGGAGAAAAATTCTTCCCTATCTTTTTAGTAATGTATTATTCAAACTTTGGAAGAACTTTTAGAATTTTTAACTCTAATTTTAATTGTTCTGAATCATTGGATAATACCATTCATTTGTGATATGTAATTGTTATAGTTTATTTTTTACTGCTGTGCATACTGTTGGATAGATCAATGGAGAGTGTTTTTTAAAAATATAGATAATATAATAAAACAGGAAAAATAGGTTATATTGAATAAATTGGTGTCTCACTAAATATTGGGTGTATAAGATGGATTTCATTAGGGTGTATAAGATGGATTTCATTAGGGTATATAAGATGGATTTCTCCTGGGATCTCAGGAAAGCAGTTGAAGTAATATGTGGGTTTCCCCTTGCTTTGGGAATCATCTCGGTTTTCACTGAGTCCTGAATCCACCAGGTGTACTCTGTCCCTGGTGCCCTTTCTCTGGAGCTGTGTATAGAACTTGTAAGAAAGAAACAGCAATCCCTTCCTTTCTCTGCCTCTCCCCAGAATAGCCTGTTCATTACTTCTGTAATTAATTTTTTTCTAAAATTTATCTTTTTTTATTTTTAATTTTTTGAGACAGGGTCTCGCTATGTAGTTCATGCTGGCCTTGAACTCACATGTAGTTTAGGCTGGCCTTGAACTCCTGGCAGTCCTCCTGCCTCAGTCTCCCGAGTGCTGGGATTATAGGTGTGAGCCACCGGCCCACTTTACATTCTAATTAAAATGCTTGTACTGCTGTTGTTTTTTGTTTTTTGTTTTTTTAATCTGTTGACTTTTATGGTGTATAAGAAATTTAGCTATCTCCCTCTACCACTTTCCCTGTCTAACTTCACTCATTCCTATTCTTTCTATGTGTATAACAGTTTTTACCTTACTATTCCATGTTTTAATTATTGTAACTATTATAAGTAGTTATATGAGATGAGCTCCTAGAAGAGCTGAGTCACACTATGATTGTACTTTCTTTCCTTTTATATGACTGTTTGCGGAATTCTTATTTTTCTATGTCCTTAATTTTCTTATAGTCTGAGACAGAATTAAAAACAAAAGACCTTGTCACCATAGTTTTCACGACCCCCACCCACCAGGTATACTCTTGTGTCTCTGAAGCCCTTGCTCTGGAGCTGGTCTTGTTGTTTGGGCTGGTTGGGCTCTACAGAACCTGCCACACAGCTTTGCCCAGTGGTCTTTTCCATTATTCTGGATTTCCTTACCCTTCTTCCTTTTTTTTTTAAGCTCCCCTGTCTTCTTTCTTGGTTTTTTCCTGTGTTGTGTGAAACACACTCTACAGTAGCTTCTTTAAGAAGTGTGCATAGGAGATAAATTTGACACAGTATGTATTTAAAAACCTTTGTTTGTTATAGTGAGATATGGATCCATTCCTTCAGATTTTTAAAGACATTTTGTTACCTTCTGGCTTCTGTTGTCATTGTTGGAAGGTCTCATGCACTTCACATCCTTGGTTTCTTCTGAATGTGACTTTTGCCCCTTTTTTGTTTTAAAATTTCTTGTGACTGATAGTGTTTTCTCTACCTGTAATGTTCCTGCAATTTAATGATAGTGTCTTAGTTTTTCTCCTCCATTATTGTATTGGGCATTTATAGGCCCATTCAGACTAAGTATTCTAGTTCTAGAACATTTGTGGTACTGTTTTTTGGGAGAAATATTCTCCCTAGCTGTAATTCTTCTGTTCTTTTCTGATGGCCTATCAGTTACATATTGAAACAGGTTTATTTCTCTAACGTTCTTGATTTTTGTTCCATTTTTATCATATCCTTTTATTCTATATTTTAGATTTTTCTACTTTTGTGTCCAATTCTGTTTTATTTCTCAGAATATTGCTTTTTAATCCTAATTTTTTTCCTTAAATTCTTTTATTGGTAGATTTTAGGTATACAATATGTTTACATTTATCATTGGGTGCTTGTACCTGTACATGATGCATCTTTGTTTTCATTTTTTCCCCCCATTACCTGTGCACCCCTCACCCCCTCCACCCTTCCCTATTTACATAGACTTCATTTCCATTTTTTTTCTTTTCTCATAATTTTTCCTTTCCCCATCCCCTCCCACCACCCCTACCCCTTTGGACCTTTTCCTATTCCAAAGTATCAATTATTCGTTTAATCCTAATATTTTATGAGGCAATATCTTCTATTTTTTTCAGGATATCATTGCTAAAATTTTCTTATAGTTGCTGGATTATTTCTGAGTCTTCTAAGTTAATTTTTTTCCCTTGTTTTAAGCTTGATCTTTCCTGCTAGTAGCTTTCCTCGGATTTCATTCATGTTAAAAAGTGACATTCTGAGAAGCTCATTGGAAGCCTCCTGTACTATGGATGGGGCTTGTCCATTGCAGGTTCAGTAGGGTTACTCTGACAGACAGGCTTTAAAAAAATAGCCCCTGAGTTCCCCAAACCCCTTACCATTTTGGTAGTTAGGGGCCATTTTTCTAGCAACTTTGCTCTCCCATTTCTCCAGTCTCTGCCTAGGAGTACTTAATTCAGGTTCTTATTTCATCCTGTTTGCTGCTTAGAGTCTCTCTGCTGTCCTCTGTGGTAGCTAAGGTCCTGGAACCCAGAGGCCCTCCTGCTCATCATCTCAGAGAATGAGCCCACAGTTGTCTTCTGTGGGACTGAAAGAAGACTTACAATGCTTGAGTGAGCTTAAAACTAGACCTGTGTTTTTAGACACCTCACCTTCCCCGATTCCTGAGGCTTCACAAAGGAATCTACTTTTTTCTCACTTTTCTCTCCCTTCCAGCCAGTTGGCCTTCACTTTTTCTCCATCTGCCTTCTGTCTTCCTTAAGTTTGATAAACTCCATGGTAGTGTGCAGTTGTTTTATCACGCATTTTGACCTTTTGAGATTTTAACTAATCTATTCTTTTACTGTCATTTTAGTGGGATTTCCCCAAAAAATGTTAAATGAATATATTTAGTTTTTCTTGTTTATCAAGAATTCTGGTCTCTACTGCTAATATTTAAGATGATCATGCTTAGAATATAATGTTTATAGAGTTGCCTAGTGATCAGAGAGGTCTCATTTGAATTGTAGGGATAGGGAAACCTCAGTTTCTCAAATATCATTAATTCTCTATGATTACCAGCCTTACTCGGTTTAAACTCCAAAGCTAATTATGTGCCTTCAGTTGCACTAAATCTTCAAAACTTTGTTGAAATTTGATTGTCATTGTGACAGTGCTCAGAGGTAGGAGCTTATGTAATTAAGAACCCCCCCCCCATGAATTAATGTACTTATTGTGGGAGTGGATTATGTGGGTGTGGTTGGTTTGCCCTGCCCCTCCCCGGCCTCTTTCTCTTGCAGTTGTCTGTCCTTCTACCTTCTGGCATGAGACAGTGCAGCACAAGGTGCTGGCAACATGTCTGAAAGTGAGACCATTTCTCTTCTTTAAAACTTAGCCGGGCTGTGGTGTTCTGTTACAGCAGCAGAAAAGGGACTAAGGTTGTATCTCAAGAACCTGTTTTCTTCTAAATATTTCTGTCTTCTCTAAATGTTTCATTTTCTCAGTTTATGTTCAGCTTTTTTTTGCAGATAGACTCAGAAAAAGTAAAAATACCATCTCAGATAAAAACTATATGAAATAAGTTCTAGGGCTTTATAATTTTTTGCTGTGTTATTCTTAACAGTACGACCTCAGTGTCATTGATGGCCAGTAATACTAGTGTATTCTCAGTAAACTGCCACTTACCAATTTTAGTGTCATTTGTGTTTTTAAAAAGGTGGTTTTTTGTTTGTTTATTTTGATTTTTTGTTTTTGGTACTGGGGTTGGAATCCAGAGCCTTTGCACTGAGCCATATCCTCAACCCTTTTCTAATTTTGAGACAGGGTCTCCCTAAATTGCCTAGACTGGGCTTGGATTTGTAATCCTCATGCCTCAATTTCCTGGAGTGCTGGGATTACTGCCTTGGGCCAGTGGGCCCAGCAGGTGCTGTTTTTGAAGGGAAAATGGTGGTGGTGGGGGGCCCTGGAAAAGGGGAGCAACTCATTTGAAGGGGGAGGGCCTAGGAAGAGCTAGGAGCTCTTCTAAGGGACATTGAGGCTAGTGGGGCTATAGATCAAAAAACTAGGGAAAGAAAGTTTAGGAGGCTGGGGTCTTTGTCTTCAGAGTTTGCTGATGTATGCCTTCCTTAAGATAAGGGTGTGGGTAACAGCCACACGTGTTACAGGTGGAATGTTAATGGATGTTTTGCTACAAGTTTCTGAAACTGCTCATTTTGAAACAGACTATGTGACTCTGGTGTAAAGGCAAATGGAGGTCAGAATGACCTCTTCCTAGTTGCCAAGCACTCCAGTCTCCAGTGGGGCTAGGAATCCAATTATCAAAGATGCACGAGTCTTGTGAATTATACCTAGAAATGTAAATCAGTGGTTAGAGGAGATGTGGTAGAATTAGTAGTGTGATTAAAGTTTTCTGTGATTTATACTTTGGGACTGTGTTCTGTGCCTTTAATCTTTTCTCTTTAAGTCTTATTTTTCAGCTCCTAAATTACCATCAATCTTTTTCTCTTTTGTTACCCGAACTCCCACCCCCTTCATTTTTGTACCAGGGATTGAAC